TTTCTCATTCATAGACTGATAAAATAGAGTTATATTATATCCAATAGGCCTACTTTCTATTTTCATACTTCTGTCAAGTTTATTTAGATACAGTAATGTAATTATGTTTAATATTTGAGAGATTATACAATAGTAAGTATAGGCTGAACATACCGTATGTGAACTACTGGATTAAAAAAAAATCTAATACTACTTTCGCCGAACAATGAAATTGCCTTCTATCAGGATGCTGTGTAAAACTGTCCATAAGATGTGTAATCGAGCTTGAGGCAAATTCATTAATGTCTTCAATACAATTTGTAATGTAAACAGCTGTAAAGATGATGTACAAAATGTAAGAAAAAAATATATGCTCTAAAAAAGAAATTGAACGGTAAATTTTAATCAAATTGTCATGTCTTTGTGGAATATTGCTGTTTGTGATTACAAAATTACTGTACTAAAATTGACAGATATACAAATCCTCCACTTAGAGTCTGTGAGGCTACTTACTCTACAAAAGTTTTCAAAATTTGGAAAGCAAGATATAAGAAGTTACAAATACAGCTAATGGAATTATTGTGTCTGAATTTCCAAATGAATGGTGAATATAACTTGTAAAGCACACAATCAAAAAACAAATAGATATCCACCAACTCAATAATGGAAAGAGTTCTGGTATACTGATGTATAATTTGGTTTAGTAGCTTCCGAAACTTCGACCTCCATAATGTTCAATGTCTTGTTGATAAGGCCTGTAGATTGTGTAACCAATCTGTCGTTATTGACGACATATGTAAAAAGAAAATCCACGACAAAGTAATAACAATTATGATAGATATGCATCATCCAATCTATAGTAATTTTGATTGAGTAAGATCTGGTAGACGTCTTAGAGCAACACGCTGCAGGACAAAACGTTTTTCAAATTGTTCCATATTCTTATTAGACCTTTTAATTAATCTTACAACAAATTTTAAGATGACAATTTTTTATTTGATTTATATTTTATCGATGTTCTTTGTAAAATGATCTAACCTTTGAGTAATTTTATGTCGAACTGAATTTCCGAAAGGACTAATGTATGCAAGTATACTGGACAAAATAATGTATTGAATTAAATAACAGAACTATGAACTATGAAACATGTGTATGTTCCATTTGTTGAGCGGAAGTCTACTGCAAGAAATATGGACCCTCATAATGAAAACTGGGAGGTGAATGTATCTAACTAAAAATGTAATTAATTATGTAGCACAAGTAGTTTTTCTTGTGATCATGTTTGAAAATATGATCTGACACATATTTTAATTTTCAACAACAAAATATAAGGAAATCCTTACAGCGCTTTTCAATTGTGAATTTAAACTTTATACATCAAAAATAAAAAAAAAATAATAAAAAAGAATAAAAGAAAACCATGGACTGCACCAAAAAATTAAATTTTAATATATTTTTTCTGTTATTTCTCCATTTTTGTTAAACAATTTTGAAAAAATTAAGGTGCCGAACTAATTGTACGCCCGGATTTAATTACGCGCGGCGCTTTTGTGCGTAGGGGTTAGAAAAAATGTATTGTATTGCCTTGCAAAGTCCTGTCCGTGTTTCCATTAGTATTAGTCAATATGTACGAAGTATCACCTACAGACATTTTCTAATAAGACCTCAAGAGTGTTTTGTTGTCAAAACAGCGAAACCTTAGCATTCTTGCCAATCAGTAATTCCTTTTTAACCTTTGAAGGGGGGTATTCAGGCAATCCAAACTCCCCTGGATAAACATTTGAAGTCTGGCGGCGTAGAGTATTAACATGGGAAGGGGAGACTAATGGGCATAAAGGATTAAGTGGGGATGCTGAAAAGATGGGATGTTTAAACATTGGTGGCGCCAACAACGGCAGGTCCGAAGAGCAGGCTCGGAGAAATTCTGTTGAAAACATTGCTTTGAAAACGTGTTTTTACAGACTTCAAGTGGCATTTCTGCCTGAAATCTAGAGTTGTCTATTCTTTAAATTTGTTCACCTCAACCCCAAAAAAATTGGCCCTTTTGTGGTGTCGACTTTGAATTTTTGGGGCTGACTTTGTTTTCAATTACTTACAGTTGTACTGTACATGAGTGGATTTGTTTTTACTCAGAAAATTTCTAGTGGATCAACGTACATAAAAAGTTACCCACAAAAAGAGAGAATAAAAAATCTTATATTCTTTGGACATTTCTGCAAGGTGAAAATTATTGTTTTGTAAAAAATTTATTTTTTACTGAAGATAAGTGTTTAATTTTGTTTTATCTAAGTATACAGGATTCGAGAATATGGACCTCTCAGATGATGTAGTTACACACAAATTGTAGTAGGCTGGATTATGGCTATGTATAGGCCTACTTGTTGAATGCGTTAGTGCGACAACAACATCTGTACGTATGTACATTCAAATGACGCCGTAATATATGCAGGATGTACCAAAAACAAGTGAAAACCTGTTGAATTTGAATAATTAGGTGCAAAGCAATTGCTTTACTGCGTTCTCGTTCATTCCCGTGTGAAGTGTGAGCAATGAAGGAGGGTGTGGACAGATAGGACTACAGTAGGTGAGTTGGCCTAAATAAACACCAAAGGAAATATCAGGCATATAAATTAGCATATGTATAACATGTTTAACTGCGTAATGAGTCAAAAATTGAAAAAAAAAAATCATGATACACACTATAAGCTGACTTGTTGCACGAGGTATTGTGAGGAATACTAGAACGGTTGAGTGTTAGTTATTTGTTATAGTTGATCTTCTTACATTAGCTTAGAACTATTATATATTTAGTAAAAAAAAAATCATAAATAACTGAACCATGATGTCAATATAACTAAAATTAAATTAAGAAAAAGGATGGTAACACGGTACCGGTGGCCTATTCAAAAAACAAAATTTTCGATTAAATTTCATGTATCAGAATGTCTGTGCTCAAGCATTCCACCCCTTCCTGCTCTGTACTTCGAATGGCCTTACCCAAAGTCTTCTCTGGGTCTGCACCTGATAAATATTGATGCTATTTCTAAATAAATAACGATGCTGCAATTTTTTTAAACGTTATTTTCTGACATAACATAACAATGCTCGCGAAATTAACAATATTTTCTGTTTGCTGAGAATGAACTGTATCACGTTTAACATAACGATAACTCGTAATCATAAAATAACATCGCTTATTTATTGTTTCTCCATTTGTTTTACAGGCACTAAACAGAATTCTGTCTAAACGGGCAGTCATTGACAAATTATCGTAAATACTGTATTTGGAATTTAAATTCTGTTAAAAATTTGACTAAGTTGGCTTCTAATTTAATCAATCTACTTTCTGTCCTCTTTAATATGCACGTAATCGGCACTTCAGAATAGGCAATTAATAATTTTATTATTATTTTATAATATTTATCTTTAAACTTATTGCTTTTTCAATATAGCCATTTATTATTGTTATTGCTTTTATTGCTATATTATTAGGCCTGCTATTACTGTTTTTTTTCTGCTGTTATTTCCATTATTAATTTTTTATTTTATTTTTATTAGTTTAGAGAGCACGTAAGCCTTTTTGGAAGCCGTTAGTCAAGTTTGAAATATGCATAATAATTTATAAAAAAAAAAGAGAAAAAAAAAAGGAATTAAATTTTATATCTGCCCGCTGAAGTCTTGTGACGTTTACACCTCGTTATCCTTCTCGCCAAGAATTCCTGATAGAAGTGCGCCATCGCGGCTTCGAGCATCCAAGCATCAAACATAGTGAGAACTAACACGTTTGAAAATCAAGAAGTTAATAACTTCTTGGTTAGAATCAGTGGGGCGCCAGAACAGGCAACGTATCTGAACCCACTCCCTGTTGGACCAAAAAGGGGAAAGCCGCAATTGCTTTATTCTAATCTCTGGCCAAAACGATCTCATACACCTCAGAACATTTTAAAATAGCAAAAATTGCTTGAGTTTTTCTAGCCGTGTTGACTCGCCCCTAGACCAACTGGTTTTAAAACCGGAAATTGTCATACAGCTCTGTCGGACAGCTTACCCCTTTAGTTAAGCAAAATTCTGGCGCCAATACTGGTTCAGAAGAATGTCATGCTTTCCCCCCAACTAACACACAGGTGGAATACTGTTAGAATCAAGAATGACGAAGCTAAATATCGCTGAATTAGTTCTATATATTAATTATTTTTTAAAAAAATCAGCTTCATAGTTCCCGATATAATTTAGTATTCTAAGCTGTATCCTGAAATGGAACTACAATAATTAGACAGGCAAACGTGCAATAAAAGCATTAAATTTGGCACACGTGATAGAAATCGTCAATATGAGCAACCTGGATGATGAGACATGCAATGGCTTACTATTCAACGTGTTTTGTATTCACCTATTATGCATGTGTGGCAAATTTGAAACTTTATCAAATAATTTGCATTTACATTTGCAAATTTTACATTCCATTTACATTTAAATGTTTACATCATCATTCAAACAGTTATGTTTACATTTAACTTTTACATCAGCATTGTAATAATGTTGGACACTAGGTTATGGTAGGCTACTATATTGCATTTACATTTACATTTCACTTTTACACCATCATTTTAACAATTACTCTTTACATTGTACATCATCATTTTAATAATTTCTGCTTATATTTAACTTTTACATCATCATTTTAATAATCACTCAGGAACACTAGTTTAGATTAGGCTATTAAACTGCGGATGCTGAATATTGGAAGATTTACGAATATGCTGAATTAAATTTAAATAAAAATAACTAAAACTTAAAATGTATATACAGTACAATTGTGCAACTTAACTATGCATACGCACTTTTTTTTTCCATAAATATGTTATTATGTGACGGAGATAAGGTGAGTTACTAACGCAGCAAGTCATCGCTTCGAGCATCCAAGCATCAACTCAAGTAAGTCACTAACAAAAAACCAACATGAACATAAATAACACTTTGTAAATATTTTTTTATTTTATTATTTTATTCTTGTAAATATATTTTCAGGTTCGTTGATAAAGGTAGCAGGAGCTGCCGGAAATTTCTCATTAATTGTAAGTCTATGAGTTACTGTCTGGTGGCGGTGCTTGTAGCGTAAAACTCGTTTCTTTATCTCTGTGTGATATAACACTGCAAAACCAAGGCATTTACAGTAATGTAATGTCTGAATCCATTTTAAGGTGTTTGCGCTTAGGTTGTGAGATGCATGTGGTACACAGATCCGTGTTCTTGTCTGCATGCCTTTTGTAGCTGGTGTGTTAGCCAAGGAGTACTGTATAGTGCGACTCCTTGGAAAATCCCGTGGACTTTACCTTTTGGGTGACAGTGTTGTTTCACTTGGTTAAAAACTTTGAATGAACACTTCTGGGTTACATGATTATGAGCGGGCCCATAGTAGATATTGTAATCCTAGAGTAGAATTTGTTGCAATAAATCCGTACATCTGAAAAAACCTTTCGTTGTTGATTATTTTGTGTCAAGTCTCTTTACAATAGTTTAAGATACAAAATAACAGTTGCAATAAATTGTTACATAATTAACTCTTTATTTTGTTTCAGCTCTGGCCCCCAATTTTTTTCCTATTTATTGTAATTTTAGTTTTGAATCAGTTGCAATAAAATGGTACATTTGAACAAACTTGGATTGTTGACTCCTTTTTTCTGTCGTGTTGCTTTCAACTCCTAATCAATATTCTCTTCTCTTCACAGAAGCCAACAGTAAGTAGATAATTAGGAATCTTGTATTTTGACTGTTTAATTATACAGTGCGATGCTCACATGGGTGAAAAGTAAATTTTTAAATTACATTGTAGCTTTTGTTGTCTTTCTTTAGACTTCGTTCAGAAATTCTGCTAAATAAATTAAAATAGGAAATTTACAATAAACATCGCACATTTTTGCATGTTTAATTATTGACTTAAATTTCTAATGTACTTTATAACATTTTTAACGTTATGTTTTATTTTCAGACGATGTCTGGTTGGTCAACTGTGGGTGTTTTGTTTGTGAATGTGAAATCTATGAATGTGTGAATTATGTTTACCACCCTGTCGACTTTATTGCTTATAATGGTCCAATTGGGAACTTCAAAAAAAATTGGTAGCTGATTAAACAGCAAATACAATCAAAAGCAATATTAATGATAATAGTGGTGGTGGTGGTAGTAGTGATGATGGTCATGGTGGTGGTGGTGGTGATGATAATGACGATGATGAACAAAGGTAAGTCTTAAGGACGTGGTTGATATGGTGATTTGTCAGGTTGAGCCTGAACTTTGTTTTGAGGGAACGGGACCCTTTGCATATTATAACACTACGTTAACTCTACGTGGTGACCACTGATGGTGGTGGTGATGGTGGTAATGATAATGACGATGATGAACAAAGGTAAGTCTTAAGGATGTGGTTGATATGGTGATTGGTCAAGTTGAGCTTAAACTTGGTTTTGAGGGAACGGGACCCTATGCATATTATCACACTACGTGGTGACCACTAAATTTGAACTCTGAATTGTATACAATAATAAACATTCTATTGTATATGACAGAGGGACCTCAGTCTCGAAAAATAGTGGGTTCGTCTCCTTCACCAGGTGTGCACACTTCTGATTAGTTTGATACATCCCAAATCCCCAAAACGTTTTATGTTTTTACAGACAGTGAGTATATAATTAGGAATCGTTGTCATTGCATGTTCAATTTTACAGTGCGATGCTCACATGTGTGAAATATCAATGAATATTAAATATTTAATCATCGATTCTGTTTAATAATTTAATACAAGTTCAAGAATTTCAGAAATTGTAAAATAAACATTACATTTGTTTTTGTTTAAATGTTGATTTCTCTTCATACTTAATTTTTTAAAAGGTTTAATTGAATGCTTCAATTTCAGACAATGTGTGTTTGCTCAACCTTGGATGATGTTGGAGAAAGTAGAATGGGTGCTTCTAAAATCGATGGTTAATTAACGGCAAATTAAATCAAACGCAAAACTGATATTGGTAAACCTGTGGACGTGTTCTTGGTAATTGTGAGGATGAACAAAGGTAAGTACCGGTATTAAGAAATGTTTTTGAAGGTGGTGATTGGTCAAGTTAGTTGAGTTGAGTACTGAAGTGTTTTTGTGATCGGTAATGTACGGTATTAGATTTAGTAAAAATTTATATAACTGGATCTGGTACTCGGAACTGTATATTTTTTGTATGATTTAATATATAAAGCCACCATTGTCTTAAATTTATAAATTAATATTTGGACCTATCCAGATTTTTAAATATATCTGATTGAAATTTGATGCTGGCAAAGCCCCAAAGCACCCAAAACAATTTAATATGGATTATGAAAATAGTACGATTTTTTTTTTTTAAAATTATGACAGGAACTTGGAGATACCTGTAAAACAGAAACGGGTACTGTGGCCAGCTTCCTTCGACAGAGACGTGGTAGCTCAGCTAGATTAAAATAAAGAGTTGATAGTTCTCGGTAATGTTGCAAGGAATGTCTCGGGTAAGACTTATCATTGGTAAACAGTACTTATACCCTGTTAATCATGCATTAATTAGGCCTATAGTTCGAATTGCCACGTTTCTTTAATTTCTATGTTTTTACCCTGTATAATTTAGATAATGCAGTTAGACATTTAATTAATGGGCTTAATTAGACCTACAGTTCCACATTTCGTGAAATTTGCCTAGGCCTGTTATTGGTTTGTCGAGAGTTCAAGAAGGTACCTGTTGCTGTCGTATGCAAAACATAGGCCTACTAATACTAATAATTACAGTCTTAAAATGGTCACAAATATAATATACTGTTGTTTAAACCTCCTGAATCATGTCTGATGAGAAAGACTTTATGCATATGATGCATTTAGCTCTCAGAAGCTGATCTTTCCTTAATATTTATGGTAGATATAAAATAAAAGCTAATAGAATTTATTCTAAAATGAAGTCTAACTAGTAAGTAAATACCTTTATTGTTTCTCTTTATAACAGAGGCACAACCGTAAAGGATATGCAACAAGACTAATCAGTATAAACAGATTAAATACGACACGGAAATACTGCAGTAAAACAAGTAAGAATAATAATATAAAAGTAGATTACAAATAAAACAAAATAAATCATTGAAATATATATATATATATATATATATATATATATACATGTAGTATATATGTATATAACCTACTGCTGAATCTTTCATTTTTTGTTTCTTTTTTTGTTTATGTATATCTATGTATATGTGTATATATATAATGTATGTTGTAAAAATGTATTTTTCATAATGGTTTCCTAAATTATCAAAGAAAAGATAGTATTTTAGTTCAGGGGAGCTTGGTGTGAATAACTAGAGAACGGCATGGATTAATTAATGCTTATGTGCTAACAGTTGCGTTTTATTAGACCTAACAATGTATTAATTTTGCGTGATGGATTGTTTTGATGAACTGCATATACGCTTTGCTGCACAATCCTCTAAATCACAGTTTAAAAATTATTCTATATTCTTTTTAAGATATTGTGACTGGGACCAGATGACGGTAAATGGCTTTTCTTCCAATATGATGGCGGACTCGATCCTGATAGCTTGCGAAATTGGTATTTATTGTATCAAGCACACAACACCGTTTGCCATTGGAATATGTATTCTAAGCATAACGTCATTGTGCAGGAGATATCTGAACTTGATCACAGTGAAAAAATTCTGTGCTGTCATATGCCGTTGCCGATATTTCAAGCACTGAATTAATTCTTAGCTAAACGAAGATAGAACTAAGTTAGCTAAATGAATAAGCTTACTATTGGAACATCTGGTTAACATTACCTTGCTCGGGTTCAGGCACTGGCATCAAAGAAAATTGAATGAATAGGCACTGGCACAGGCGTAGTTTCGCTGATTTGGTGAAAAGAAAATAATACAACTCCAACAAGAACTTTGTTCTAATACGACATGCACTTGTAAAGAGAACTTAACCATTTAAAATTTGAAATGAAGTAGTGATATAATGCATCTTGTAAGATTTGCTTCCAGTAACCATTTTTACTTAATTATTGATATTATAGTTAGTTACCTTCAACACAGATTTCCATTGAAAAATACTATTTACTTGTATCACAGAAAGAAATTATTGTACATAAACATTTAATGAAATCGTATACATTTTTACAAATTAGAATTTAAAAAAATATTGTTCACACCGAATGATGGCATATAAAAGAGGTACAATAATCAAAACGATTGGATAAATATAAATTTAAAAAAAAACCATTTGCTTTGTGTAAGCATTTAAATTCTCCCGTTTTCATTGGATAAGCAATTAAAATTCAATTTTCATTGGTTAAAAAATTCAATACGACATCTTTTCGAAAGCAGATCAGATCAGTTCATTTAATTTCAAGTTTGTAAGTTTGTTTGTTTGTGTGTAGTGTGTTCCTAATCACGTTTATGTCTTGTGTAAATATGCTACAAACTCGTGTTTCATCATACCGAATACTAACCTCGGTTTATCCTCTGTCATCAATGTATGTTAATATAATTATCGTGATAAATCGCTTAGACTTACAATAAGATAAAATAAATATAAAATAGGTATAGGAAATGAAAGCATAGGTAGAAATAGGTTCAATATAAGGTATAAAATAAGTCAGTAACAGTAATAATATTAATATTAAACAAGCATACGTAAATGACAGAGGAATAAACAAAATTAACATGTTATCATACTCATTTCTAAAGATCTGCTTTTGCTTTCTATGTCGTACATGAAATTTTAATCTCCAGCGTAAAAATGGGTAACTAAAAGAAAAGCTGGTGCATACATGACTGTTTATTTCAATTAATCAACATTCATAACATAATATATTTGGCTTATGTATTTTATAACAAGTAGTACCTTTTTCTTTTGTGGTTTGGTTTGAAGGACCTGCATAAGTTTGTAAATCTTTAGAGAATGCGGATTATGGAACGTCATAGCTACTCTCTGATATCTACGGATATCAAATTAATAATCTTGTTTTTGTGCAATAATTTATCTTGTCTATGTATGTATTTTTCTGATTACGAATAAATTTAATTCATGCATTATGAAGTTTAGTTTACATATCTAATAACAAATGACAAAAAATAGTCATTATGTTTATAGTAAAATTAATTGTAAACTTATACTATATTTATTGTTAGTAAATACGAATAGTCAAACGCTTATTTCATGTAACATGATAAAAATCATATCATCTTTGCAATTTTTGGTTTGAATAATGGGGCAGTGATGATATCTCGTATGTGAATGAAGACCCATGATGCACCTCTATATTTCCAATTGATATAATATAGAAATGTATATATTATTATCCCGTAGTCTCTATCACTGTCGTGGGTTTTCCCCGAGTCCTTCGGTTTCCTCCCACAAGTAGGGTCATTAAGTGTTTTATATTAATAAATAATGAAAAGAAAATGTGTAAATCGTGTTGATTGATTTGACCATGTGACTTCAAAAAGTGTGTAAAGCTTTCCGCTCCCTGACGACGGCCCGCGTCTCGTCAAAACAACTTACAGGGTTAGGTAGCAATAAGCTCCACTCCTTACAAAGGCAGTTTCCCGTCTTTCATTTCATTTCGTTTTTTCATTGGAGAGATGTTTTGCCCTTCCTTACGTGTTATCGTACTGAATACTCAGTACGTCCCTAAATACTTGTGAACAAATTTCGCAAGTGAATTGTATTGGAATCGAGCCCTCGACCTCCAGAAACTAGCCTATCGAACTTGCGCTTAGTGACTAGAATTGAATCTGCAAATGCTATTTTGATGCGAGTTTGCGTCAGGAAAATATCATAGGAGTAATTTTGGGACGTACTGAGCATTCGGTTAAATAGCACGTCAGGTGGGCAAAACTCCTATATTTCCTTGACGTAAATTCGCATCTAAAAAGTTGTCACAATGCTGACGAGGGTGCCTACAGTATGTCCACGACGACAGCAAAGTGGGTGTGGTCGGGCTTCGCTCAAACTGTTTTGAAAGTGGGCCAGTGGTTTCAAAGCCGTAAAACCTCGAATTAAATCACTGGGCTTCTGTTTGTAATTTTGTCCATCCAAAGTCCGCAAAAAAAAAAAATAAAAAATAAAAAATAAAATAAAACCAGTCCAGAGTTTCAATTCGAGGTTTTACGGTATATATGTGTGTTGTGCATATATACAGTGGTGCCGAGAGACCGCGGCTTACTGGGCAAGTGCCCCGGATGCTAGGTAAAAAAATTAATTAAATATATAAATGAAATCCAGTATCATTCATGTGTTTTTCGCTCGAGACTAGTAAATAAAGCTGATAGTTTATCGATGAAAGCTTGAAGTAATCGCCTCTAATTTCTCATGAATATTTTCATGACTTCTAGAGTTAATGTTCACAATGTATTAAATAATAACATTCTTTGCGTCATTAACAGGGGTGGCGCCAGGATTAGCCCGAAGGGGGGGCCGAGATCCCCGACGGGGGCCGGTGCCCCCGACGAGGGTTCAGATTTTCCCGACGAAAGCAAAGTGGGCGTGGACGAGCTTCGAGTAAAAGGTCTTGAAAGTGGTCCAGGGGCGAAGACCCCGAAAATTTTGACAATTTAGGGGTTTCCAAGGCTTATTCTTAATCTATTTTAGAGTCTAATATGTAAAAAATACATATAATTTGTTTTCTCACCGACGAATTGTGCTTTTTCTCCACGACAGGGGGGGGGGGTGGGGGAGGAGGCCTACTCGAATATCTTGTTTTGAGGTAAAGTATTTTGCAGTGTATGAAATTCCTCAATTAAAGCTTTGGACAACTTGTAGTCGAATATTAGGGACATCCGTGTGGTTTTAGGTTTGGCTTTGTATTCGAGAAAGCCGAGTCGTGATTTGGATGATGTTTTCTTGATGTTGCGTTTGATAAAAGGTATTGGGTTGTTGCTTTGGCTACCTTGCATATGAGAGTGTTGTGCTTTTAAACAGTATTCTGTGTCTGTTGAGCATACAGGCTCTACGTTTAATTCGCAGTGCTTGGTTAAGGGGAACGAAATATTATTTCATTCCCTCGAAATCAGGGAACAGTGAAATTCTCGAAATAGTATGTTTTCACAATAATATTTTTTCTTACCATGTCCCTTTAGGAATTCCGTAGCAAAGTCTACCGCAAGCAAGCTACCGAATGTGTGCAAAATGAGTTAAGGTACCGTACATTATTATAAGACAGCCTCACTAATATTTTAAACAAGGGTGGCGCCAAAGTTTTCCCGACGTAGAGGGTGAGGGTTGCAAGGTCGTGACGTGGCTCAAAATGTTTCGAAGGTGGTCCAGGGGGCTAAGACCCGAGAAATAACAAGTTTGGGTTTATTGTTTTTAAATTCTTATTTAATCAATTACAAGATAGTCTAATATAGTAATATTTAGAAATGTTGTTTTTCTTCCCCGACTGGGAGCCACTAGCGCCATCCCTGGAATTATCCGCGGTTTTTATATTGTATTTTTTTTTTTTTTGTATTGTATTGCTTCCTATTTAAATCTGCATAAAAACCAAGACTATAAGCCAAATTCCAACGAAACAACATATTGGCACGGAAATATTTTAATTCACTACAATGTTATGGTCAACACAGAAAAATAATACACACTATCATTACAGTATACGTCAGCATTTTCTCTTTATGGGCAATCCTAATTCTCTATTCAGTTTGGCTTTCTTATTGTTTACGTTTTAGCTTTGTACAATCTGATGTTTTTTAGGGGTACCCAATAAAATATAGGCCTAGTTTATGAGCTTATTACAGACAGTGCTTTATATTCAATAAATAATATATTCTGTAATTGGAATTTTTAAACATTCGTAGGATATTTGGAGTTACCCCTGGACTTGCTGATCTTAACATGGTACTTTGTACAAATCTAAAAGTACTAGCCTATAACATCATAATAAAGACGGCTAAATAAATGCAGTGTACCTTTATTCCGAAACCCATTAATTCGAGACTATATTTTTTTTTTCAAAGAACCTAAAACACTCTTCCCTCTTTTAACACAAAGTTACCCCCTCTAATTAGAGAGAATTCCACATTTTCAGATCCTAAGGTGGTTCCGAATTGGAGGGCGAACTGTACCAGAATTAGCCCTATTCGAGCCTCAATTCATGACTTAGGCCCCTAACATTGATTAACAATTGGCATGTTTTATGTAGTTACATAATGGTAAGCATTTCAATTAAGAATTTTAGCATTATGATTGGAATTATATAGTACTGGAAACGATACAGTATAATACAAGACTGTGCATTAGCCAAAACTACCATAATGGGGGCCTAGTTAGCCCTATGTAAATTTGACAATACTGCTTCTATCGCCCGATTCTGCTACAGTTCATTGTATTGGTATCTAGATGAGTCATGCAATGTGTCATGTTAACGTTAAATGTTTAATACTACTGAAGTAATAGCAAAACAATATTAATTAGCCATTGCATTCGCCAACACGAGCGTTTTAGAATATTCGTTACCGAGTTACGTAATCGTGTTAAGTCGTGATTGGTCCAGTTTTATAGGTGACACGACATTGCCTCTGAATCTTATTTTCAGTGCTTGTCGAACCTGCAATAAAGATGTGTAAAAATTACTTAGTGACTATATATCCATATGTATTCATGATATGCCTATATATGGTCATGATGTGATGTAACATGACCATATTAAGGCTTGTCGAAAATGTTATAGTTTGAACAGGGCTTAACACCGTGGCAATCGTCACGGTTCAGTGATTAACGGCATGGAAGTAATACAGAATGTAGGCCAGGTACCTTGTTACTGCAGACGCACTGTGAAAACCAGACGAAGAATCCTTGCAGGCAGTTAAACGTAGCACAAGAGTGATACACAATCATCGTATCGTAGTCAGCAAGGATGAGCCAAGGAATCCACGTAAGACCAACCACTGGTGTAAGGAGCAATAAACCACAACACGAAGATCTTCAAAATTTAAATGTAATAGTATGATTAAACCAAATATTCTAAAAAAAACCAAACAAAACAAAACAAAACAAAACAAAACAACAAAAAACCCCCGTATTTTACTGAAACTTAACAATCGATATCACACGTCTGACCTTATTCGCTTAAATGTTTTCATTTTTGTTCGGTTCGCCAAGTTACATTTCTTGAAAGTTATATAGCCAACAATTCCTGTCTGTACGAGGACAACCTAGAATGGAAAGTTCTATTATTTGAATATTATTTCAATAATGATAATAATAATAATAATTGGAAACTAAAAGTACAATACTCTGGGATCGAACTTACCGATAGAGTGACACACACTTGAACAATAAAAACCCAGAAGGCAAGAGAGCTTTCAACCAACCAACACCTTAAAAAATTACAAAGTGAATGTATTTCCATTGCTTACGTCAGATGTATTCTATTTAATTCTAGGACCATATATTTCGAATTCAAAATTCATTAATTTTTTCATCGATATATGTAAAACATAAAATCAGATTGAAAGAGGAAAAAAATCTCAAAAACTCCAAAACCCCATTGGTTTGTTAAACACACACATTTATCTCTAGAAGTAATCAATTTGATATTGCATTAGCCATCCAATCTACGGGTGGCCTCAAAAAGGCTGTCCGCCCAGTTTGCAGAATGCCAAATGCAAGTTGGTCAAAATACATTGTAAGTTGAACGGAATTGAAAAAAAACACGCCTAAATTAATAGTATGTGATTATTAAAATGGGTGTTGTTGTTTTTGTTGCTCCTATATGCCTATATTAACAAAACCTCTTTAAAGCGATGAATAATGGGAAATGAAAATAAAGTAATAAAAGCGATTAATACATAATAGATCCACGGTGTGCTCTCTCTATACAAGCAGTTGTCACGACGATGAAGACTGGTGCTATCCAACAAACGTATCGACTGTTTGAGAAACGCCGGTTGTGATCAGCAAGCGGATGTTTAACTTTCATGAATACGTCTGTTGAAAACGCCAACATCCAAAATTGAGTAACCGAGAGACAGTAGTGCAGACATTGGGCGAGAAGAATGCATATTGTCTGAAATATGAAACCGCAAAGTGACTGTAAAAAAATAATTAACTAAATAATTAATCGCAATGGACAACGTAATTATTATCTATGAATATTTCATTGTAATATGTTCATTACAAGAGATTAAATGTACAGATAAATGAACTTGTAACAGACCCGTAGCCAGCATCTACAGCAAGTGGTGGGTGGGTGGTTTTGGAGTTGCCGCTTGGGAGGGGGTGGTTGTGGTGATGGTTTAGCGTTGGTGCTTAGATTTTTGGTTCGGGGGACCCCAAGGATTGCTTAAATAAAATGTAAATGTGACACAACTTGCTTTAAAAAAAAGAAACAGTTACAGAGAGTGACTCTTTCAGCGCCCTCTTTATTAAATGAAATAACGTGATGCTTTTATCAGCGAAGTCTCTTTATGAGGCTGAGACAGTGGAGTTGTTATCTGTGTGATAAAGTCCTGCTGTCATATAGGAAATGAACCCAGGAACTTAGAAAGTAAACATCTCAACCACTAAGCTATTCAAGTCGTATATATGATCACACAAAAACAAATTTTAATGTGATGGACGAAGTCTATAGGCCTACTTTTTTGAAAGGGAAGATTGAAAGAAGCCTAAAAATCACCCCTGGCTACAGGCCTGTGTAATGATATAATAAGTAGGCTACACTAAGAATCGGAAAGGTTACAAACATGTTTTTTAAAATGAAGTTCCATTACACCAACACAGACATTGACACACAGTAGAGCTATGACTTGGTGGCGCAAAAATCTATACCGATCCAAGACTCTCAAATCTCTGAAACGGAAAAATAGTATAGGCTTATTCACTCTTCTAGATTTCACTATCCACAGGTTTTGCTTAAATAGGGGTACCGTCCTTTGGATGAGACGTTTAAGCAGTTGGTCTCGTGTGCAATATAGGCCAATATAACGTCAAAGCACGCAGTACGCTCTTCGGAGAATAGTGAACGGTTCCCCGGTGTACTGCCCAATTACCACCAGAAAGACCCACTGAAAATATTTCTTCAGAATTTCGTGGGTTATCCTTGGTGTTTACACCGAATAATCGAATCCATTCAACTGTTACTGTTCTGTATACTTAGTGAATTGTCAAAATCTATGATAATAAGACAGTGACTACTTACTTTAACCCACAGATGACAATAAGGGTGATGATGAGGAAAACGCTCGAAATAACAACGCCAACTTTTGCAAGCAAGCACAAAATCCTGTTCCAATTAATCTATACAAAATTGAAATTATGCACGTTAGGTTTGGAGACATAAAACATAAGCTTATATTTATTATTGCGGTTTTAAAAGTCGGAAATTTTCAAAACGTTTGTAAAGTAGTAATAATTCTTACCGACTTATTAAATTCATCCTGGTTCACCAGATTACTGTTCGTATGATTATTGTCGGAAACACTGATGTTCACGTTGTCAGAACCAGTTGGTAGCTCATTTCCTTTGCTGTGTAATTGATTGTTAGAAACGGTTAATAAAAGACTGAACACAATCATTCAACGTAAATAGTAATATACTGGTTTGCTTTGCATTGTATTAAACATAACTTACTTCGTTTGAGGTTGTGTATATTCCTGGAGACTTCCCGAATTTGCAAGAAATATCAATTGTCCGTCTGAATACAAATGTAATTAAAATATTTGTGAAATTTTTAAAAATATGTAATTCATTGTATATAGAAATACACTGCAACAACTACTGATAAGCTTAGATTATTACGAATTATAATGTTAGTTGATAGTTGATTCAGTGTGCAATGCAAACCGAGACAGCTTAAAAGATAGGCCATGTGATTACCTGATATTGACATTCTAATAATACCAAGGATGATAATACGTAATAAACACGCCTTTAAAATTGTTCTTATCCGTTGATGTCAAGAATGTGATCGGGTCATATCTTAAATATAATAAAAGTACATTCAGGGGTTGCGAATGTGTCCAACAGTACCGGGCAATTCATTGTGTGTTAAGGTAGTCAGTGATTTGGTAGTTTTAGGTCATTTTAAGGTGTACTCAGATATTTAGAACGTCGTTTGTTATTATACAAAATGAATGGTACCGTAAACAATGGAAATTATTGTTTTTTATCGTATAAAATGCTAAAATACTGCTTTACTTTAAAACAGGGGTGGCGCCAGCGGGGGTCCGGGGCCCAGGGCCCCCGGGGGCCCAGGGCCCCCGTCGTGGAGAGTTGCCCAACACCCCCCCCCGTCGGGGAGAAAAAGCACAATTCGTCGGGGATAAAATAAATGATATGTATTTTCTACATATTAGTAGACTCCAAAATCGATTAAATAAGCCTTTGTAAATTTTCGGGGGCTTCGTCGCCCACTTTCTAAACCTTTTAATCGAAGCTCGACCACGCCCACTTTGCTTTCGTGGGGGAAATCTGATTCTTCGGGGGCATCGGTCCCCCCGTCGAGGACCTCGCCCCCCCCCTGACTGCTGTCTCTTATACACATCTAGATGTTTTAAAACAAAACAAAAAAAAATATCCGTTGTTTTTGCTTCAACTTTTACTGCTACAAAAAAAATTTATAATACAAGAAATTGGTAAGCATTTAGGCTATCACTACTTTTTGTATTAGGATAAAATATTTACCTTCCCAATTAATTAGATCACGAAAGAGATCGTAATCAACCACCATTATTATCACCGTCATTTCAGTTTTAAGATACAAATGTTCAACGTAATCAATTAATCAATTTTAAATTGTTATACAAATAATATTAATAAAATGTAATATTTAAAGAAACAAAAATAATCCGTACACTGTTATCTCAAATTCAAAGACAATAGTAGACATTCACATTAAAAAGATCTCTTACCTGCAGAAAGACTAATAAATGTTAATAGCATAAACCACCATGCGTGCTAAAATATGAAATGCCATCGTTATTCGTTATCATCATTATGTGTTCATAGTATATTTTTAAATTTGACTTAAATAATATATATATAAGCCTATATGGATAAGCAAATCATTATTTGTGGTGTGGCAACCTTGTCGAGGCATCGGACGATGGGAGTCTAGGCCTGTCAGACGGGAATTCTCCACCTCCCACGCAAATTTGGAATGATGACGTCAACACACCGAATTCCAAGACTACGACAATCAAAATTAAAGGAAATGTTTACCGGTACTTATTTAAATTTAATCTTTCTACACTACATTTTTCTTCATCATCATTAGTATACTATTATGTCTGTCTCTTATACACATCTGTACTTTCTAACATTTTTAATGTTATGCTTTAATGTCCTGTCTGTCTGTCTTTGTAGACTTTATTGCCTATAATGGTCCTAATGGGAACTTCAACAATTTTATATCAAATACAGACAAAGCAATGTTGAGGATGATGATGATGATGAACTTCAAATCGGGTACGGTACATTATACATTCTGTGTAATGAAAGAGGGAATACCGTAAAGATTTGTTGTTAACAACGTCACAAGTTAAAATCTATTACTATAGTCAACAAAATACAATAGGTCTAGGTCTATATCTCGATTCGGAGGACCAAGAGTAGAATTTACACTAGACTAAGGCGAGAGATGAAGATGCTGTAGCCTAGAAACATTATGTAAGTAACTGTAGCAGTGCGCAATCAATGTCTATTATATGCCTAACTGAAATATCTTTGTGATAGTTAATTCAACACTATTATTATTTGTGTTGTTAATTCCAACATTTATATTATACACCTTTAAATGCCCTCTAAAGATCATAATTTTTAGTAGAGTAGATATAGCACAAAAAAGGGCATAACCCCCAAAAAATTGCAACAAAAGGTAGTATTTTGGTAGTATTAGATGTGCTAAATAACATACAAAAAGTCTTACAAAATCCGACCACCGGAAAGTGGTTTTTTCAAGATGGCCGCCAAAATGGCGCCAATATCATAAAACAGCTACAAATGGTATTGTAATTGCGGATTTTATTATCAATATCAGGCAATAAGTCATTTGAGACAATTTTGAATGGGATGACCAATATGAATAAATTCAAAATGGCATGCAAGATGGCCGCCATGTATAAACAGCCATAAATCAGTTATTATATCTACTTAAGCATTGTTGTTATTTGTTAATGATGTATGTAATTGTAAACAACATCCAGCATTGTTTTATTTATCATTTAACATTTTCGTTATTTTACCTACTGTGTCAACAAGTCTTTGGAATAACCTGCTTTAAGAAGCTTTCTGATTGGCTAATTTGTCTTACGTCAATATATTTGACATTAGCAATTTTAGAAAAGTAACGTTCAACATGGTAAACATGAATAAACAGGCATCAATAAATGAAGATTACTTTGAAGTGTCTTTTCATAATCTCTTGGTGAATGAATCTGTTGCGCCCAAGCACTAAAAATAATATATTTTTGAAAGAATTTATTGGCATGGTTGGAAGTTAAACTATCTTGAGTATATTTCCTGCACGATTAAAATCGTAACGGTACTGGTTTGGTCTACAAGAGCTCATGCTTTGTACAGGTCATTCCAATTATAGAAAAAGCCCTTTTCTTGGTAAAAGCCTACTTATTGTTAGCCATAGTAGCCGAGGTCAATACTAACTCGGCTATACAAAATTGATTATAAGATTGAAAAGTATTCACCTTATTATTTTAGTAGTGACACCATGTCCACATTTTTATTATTGTTATTTATTCATTAAGGTTATTATATACATTATTTATATTTAAATTTAATGTATTGTTTAAGTATAAATTATTACGTCCATGTTAAATTAATCTTATCTATTAAAATTGTATTAAATAATATAGTAATAGTCACAGCCGAGGCCTAGCCTAGGCCTAAACCTAGTGACTATGTGTGTAGTATATAAAATTATGAATAAAAAGTATAAATAATCGCAAATTGTGAAATAATAAAGGAGATTTTGGAGCGGGAATATACAGAAGTAGTCAATATGCCAATATTGCATTACGTTTTTGGGCACTGTCAGTCTGATCATTATGATATCTTCCTTTTTATTCTTTTCTTTATTTTTCTCTTCTCTTTTTTTCTTTTCCTTTCCTTTTCTTTTCCTCTTCTTTCTCTTTCCCTCTCTCCCCCTCTTTCTTTTCTCTTATTACCCAGCCCGGTACGACGGCTTGGTCAGCCCGGTAAAAACCGTCAGGGGAGGGGCAGTTTTCCCCCTGCCCCCAGCCTGTTACGACACTGGCTAACACGCAATCATCCCCCCAATGAAAAATACTTTTCTACGCCACTGCACACAGGGACAACTTATTTTTTCTTATATTGGTTGTACCATGAAGGAATTAGTTGTACGGACTGTATTTTGCTATGCTGTGTGATTACAGACAGGGCCCACACTTTGTCGAGGAGATTAATACAAACATACTGAAGTTATGCAAGACGTCATAGTCTGGTTGTAAAACTGCTGAAATGAACTTTAGCGAGAAAAAAGTAAAGGAAAATTAATTTTTGGTTTTTCTGAATCAGCATACCCTATAGTGTCTCAGAAAAAAAATTAGCTTGGCTAAATAGTTACTCATCATTCTCATTTAAAAATTTGATCGGAATGATGACGTCATCATGATAAATTCCAAGATGGCGTTCATTAAAGTGTTAAAAACTATGTTTTTAATGTAAAAATAATTTTATTGTTATCAAAGTACAATATAATCCCAATACAATATTATACATACAGGAATAAAACAAACCCCATATATATATATATATATATATATATATATATATATATATATATATATAAAAGTGAAAATTTTATTTAACATATCACTTTTTTTTGTCACTTTTATGTTAGTTAACCCAACGAAAAAACGAAATAGTGAAATTTTGCTTTAACATACCAATTTTTTTAGGCACTTAGTTTTTTTCTATAACTGTGAAAACTGACAGGACCTTAGTTAAATACTTACCCATTATAGTTGTTCAGTGGTGGCTCCAGGGGGTCAGATAGGGTGGGTCCAAACACAGGGCCGACTAGACCCTCGGTCAGAGTCCCGGAATAAACTTCCCTGGGTTATGGGAGAGTTTCTTTTTAGCTTTTTATGGCCCAAAATTTTGCTTTTAAGCCAAAATATTAGGGATTGGCAATCAAAATAATGTTATATGGATAGGCAAATCATTATTTGTGGTGTGGCAACCTTGTCGTGGCATCGGACGATGGGAGTCTAGGCCTGTCAGACGGGAATTCCTCACCTCCCAAGCAAATTTGGAATGATGACGTTAACACACCGAATTCCAAGACTACGACAATCAAAATTAAGGGAAATGTTTACCTATTTAAATTCTTTCTACACTACATTTTTTCATCATCATTAGTATACTATTATGTTGTTACTCTATAATATTATTAATATAGTATATCATTATTCTTATGCGTTTTAAAAAATTTATAATTTATAATTCACGTTAATATTAGCGTTAGTACTGTTATTCTTAATATACTGATGTCATTATTATTATTATTATTATTATCATTATCATCTTCCTTATTGTCATCTCCATCCTCATTATATTCCCCAATATAAGGAGGATGTTGATGATGATGAGGAGAAGAAAGATGATGAGGCTGATGGTGAGGAAGAAGATGATGGTGATTACGATTGATGATAATGGTTGTTGATGATAATGATTGTGATGATGGTGATGAGAATGATAGAAAATGATTGATGAGAATGATGATGATGATGATTATACACATCTATCATCCCTTTCATCCTCACCCTTGTCCTTATCTTCATTCTTGTCATCCTCATCTTCATCATCCTCATGATGATGGTAGTGACTGATGATGAAGAGGATAATGATGAAAATGATAATGGTAATTATAACGATGATGATGATGATAATAATGAGGATGATGGTAATGATGATTATGATTATGGTGATTAAGATAGGAATGATGATGAGGATGATACGGCTAATGAGAAGGAAGATGATGAGGTAGATGATGATGGATGATGATGAGGAAAAAATGATGCTGATAAGGATGGTGAGGATAATGACGATAATAAGGAGAAGGATTAGGATGATGAGTTTGATGATGATGAAAATAAAGATGATGATGATGATTATGATTGAGGATAATGGTCGTTGATGAGGGTGATCGTGATAATGATGAGGATGATTGATGAGAATGATGTTGATGAGGTTAATGATGACGAATTACACATCTAGAAACATCCCGTCTGCCCCTCATCCTCATCTTCATTCTTGTCGTCCTCACCCTCTTCATTATCATCCTCATGATGAGGATGATGATTGATAATGATGATTAATAAGGATGATGATGTGGTTGATGATAAGAGATGATGATTGTAATGAGGATGATGATGAGGATGATAATGACAATGATGATGATAATGAGGACTACGATGATGAATGAGTGATGATGATAAGGAGGATAAGGATGAGGTTGATGATGATGAGGATAAGGATGATGATGGATGAGAATGATTAGTAGGATGAAGGTGATGGTGATGATGTTAACAATGATTGGTGAGGAAGGTCATGAGGGTGACGATGATGGATGAGGATCAATGCCATGGCCAGGATTTTCAAACGGTGTGGGACAATATCAGAGCGGACCCACTTTACGTGTAAATTCAAACAATTTGGACCCATTTTATGGAGAAGATGTGTATAAGAGACCCATTTTACGCAAAAATATGAAATATCTGGACCGATTTTCTTAAATTTTACCCATATTTAACTAAATATAAGGTATCTGGATCCATTTTATGCATAAAATTACATAATTTGGACCCCTTTTTAAATGTGGACCATTTTTTGTGGACCCATTGGAAAAATAGTGTGGGACTGTCCTAACTGTGCCAATAGCTGGCTATGCCATTGATGATGATGAGGATGATGGATGTGGATGAATATGATGATAAGGATGATGATGAAGATTATGAGGATGATGATAACGACGATAGATGATTGATAAGGACATGATGAATATGAGGACGATGACGATGGATGAGTATGATGTGATGATGATGATGGTGATGATTACAACGATCGATGATAGTAAGGATGATTATAATGATTAGACAACAATGAGAATGATGATGACGATGACGAATATGATGGGGATGATGATGACGGATGATGATAATACTGTAATTATATCAATAGTGGTAATAAAAATATTATAAATAATATTATTATATAACAGTACTAACAATGTAATTCATTGTAATATTAAAATATAATTTTGAAATAACAGAAATACAATATAGTAATATATATACATAATATCATTAATGATTTCAACAATAATAAATAAGCATAATACTACTATTAAAATAATAATATGTATATATATTTTATATGTGATTGCTTTGATGAGATTGCATTTTGTACAATAGTAATAATAGTAATAATAATAATAATAATAATAATAATAATAATAATAATAATGATAATAATAATAATATAGTAATCTTACAAAAATAACCATTTTCTCCGCCAAGATGAACACCATCTTGGAAGTTGGCATTATGATCATTTCAATTAAAATTGATAAAGACAGTAATTAATCGCTATTAACTTTCTAGGGGGTTATATATATATATATATATATGTATATATATATATATATATATGTATATATATACCGTACATATATATACATACATATACACACACATATATATATGTATGTGTGTTTATTATGTATATATGTATATATATGTACAGTATATATATATATATGTGTGTGTGTGTGTGTGTGTTTGTATGGATATATATTGTTTTGAAATTGCTCTGATAGCAATAAAGTTAAATTTACATTTTAAAAGAGTTTTACCGCAAAAATGGCAGCCATCTTGGGATTTTTTGTGATGACGTCATTATTCTGATTAAATATTTTAACGAGAGTGAGGAGTAACTATTTAGCCAAGTCCTTGTTACATTTGATATACATAGCATATGTAAAAGTGACTAAAAACATACATTTATTTCCCTTACCCCCCATCTTAATTAGCCCAAAATAGGATATTTTATGTCAAAATTTTAAAGCGCTATAAAAAAATTTGTTCAAGCTCTAAGAATGGGGATTTTTTTTTCTGAGACACTATATGATATACTGATTCAGAAAAACTAAAAATTTATTTTCCTTTACTTTTTTCCCGCTAATTTCCTACTGCATCCAGGCTATCACGTCAACATACGAAGCCACGCGGCCTCGGCTGAACCCGTTGTATTTAGCAACTACCAAAAAAAGCACGATAATTTCAAGAAATAGAGGGCGCTGTTTGTTTACATTCAGTCTAGGCAAGGCGTTATCTGACTGTCTGCTTCGTGCATGCCATATGAGGCAAGTTCTATAATTGCTGTCTAGGCCTAGATGACAAATTGCTTTAGGACAAGTTCAGAGACTGGGTGAAGTCTAGGTCGTCTAGCCTAATAAGAGGGCTAGTGATTGGTTAAGGCCGGCTATTCCTCCTATTCTTTTCTCATAGATATAAATAAGAAGGGGATGGTCTCTCGCACAATAATGAAGCTAGCAATACTTGGAGCCACAGGGCCAACAGGTATTTTTCTGACCCAACAAGCTGTAGAAGCGGGTCACGATGTAGTATTGTTGGTGAGAAATCTACAGAAAGTGCAAATGAAACACGACAGCTTGACGGTAAGTTGAAAAATATTTTGACCAGAATGCATTTTACGTACAGTAGGCCTACCTAGCATATTATAGGCCAGTCTAATCAGTTTTTGTGTTTATACCCCCTCGGGGGCAGGCACTGTTGTCGACTAGCTGAAATGGAAAATGAGTCATAATGTCATCTCAATAACTGTACAAAAGTAAAGAAAAAACACATTTCCTCATACATTCGGTGTGATACCCAGTGGCGTATCTAGGGGGTGTGCGGGGAACCTCCTCCCCCCCCCCCAAAAAAAAGAAAACAACGCGGTCAAGTAGTTAAAAATCATCTGAAACCACCTTATTTTGCGAAATAGCGCCTCTCAACTGAACATCAAGCCCCTTCCCATTTCACTTTTGCACCCCTTCCCCATCAGCACCCCCATTTCAAGGCTTCTGGATACGCCACCGGTGAGACCCGTGCTTAAGTTAAGGACCAAAATTTCACACATTGCTAAGGGCAAATAGAAAAATTTATTAGATTATCACTCCTGCCCGCATAAAAAATTCGGGAAATATTGATGCGCGAATTAAAAAAAATAATTTTTGCCGCATCAATTATTTCAACAGCATAAAAATAACAATGCAATTTCGTGACTTCTAATACATTTTCTTTAAAAAACTATAGATTAAACCAGTTTTTTTACAATATTTACTAAATTACAGACCAAATATAAACAGTCCCTCCCTCATCGATAAAAACAAAAGTGAAATAATCTATTGTTCTGATTAAAAAAAACAACAAAAAAAACGCCCTCCCTCATCAATTGAAAAAAAAAAGTGATATTAATCTAATAATTTTTTCTGTGTGCCCTAAATATGGTTTTGTTATTATATTATATTGTTACACATTTGAACACAATAAATTGCAAACTACAGCAGGGTTAGGCCTAAGTTGGGTTGGCTTTCTATTTTAAATAAAACTCCCAATCAAATGGAGCTGCCGGGCATGTTGCACGAACCAGCACATTTGTTTGATCTGTCTTCAGAAATGTTCAAAACGGCAAAATTGACAACATGGATCTATAACGATCTGTAAGCCTAAATGAGGGCCCCTTTGATATCAGCTCATCAGCAATGGGGAGCTGAACAAGTCACTCTCGTTTTATATGGTTAAAATAAAAAATAAAATCAACTGACAAAGAGCACGACTCGAACTAAAAATGTTTAGAGAAAGTTTTTCTTTTCTTATGTCTCTTTCATTATTACACAATGTTCTCCTGAAGCCGATTTAGCTGACAATTGTACCGGTAAAAATAAGTGAACAACCAGTAAACATTTTGAGATTGTAAAATAATAAAACTACTGATTATGCTTATGTACAGTGGTCTAGGCTGGCCTTCTTTCAATAAATGAAAATCATTTCCAGTCTATACCTAGGCTTGACATGTATTGTTGTTTCTTCAAGTCATTAAACGTCACTTAAAAGGGATAACGTCTCACACTGCGTGCATAGCTGAATTTTTATGGGGCAAATTTTCCAGTAAAAATTGGGAGAACGCTGTGTACAGTTCAGTACTGTAATTTTAGCCTATTACATTTCTTTTATGGTATCTCATATATTCTTTAGTTGATAATTTCTGATAATTCTAGTTTTTTTTTTATTAGCTCAGATCAGATTAGCTGCATGAATATGATCAAAAACCACTGCTTCGGTCACCACGCGCACAGCTCATGTCAGTGGGATACAGTACAGTAGGTTTTGTCGTAATGGCAGAAATATGCATTCTCCAGAAAAAATGCGAATTCCTAACAGATTTTCAGTTTTGAGAATACCACCCTACAGTAGCAAAGAATGCATGTCCGGGTATTTAGGGAAAAAACATTCACCACCCTACAGTAGCAAAGAATGCATGTCCGGGTATTTAGGGAAAAAACATTCCTGGGGGGGGGGGGAGGTACCCGGACACCCCTAGGGTGCACGCCTGCAAAATAGTTGAACTTGGCAAAAAATACTAAGATATAAACTAAATCTTAACTACTGTACAAGTTTACGCCAAATATTTTTATTCATAAAATTATAGTTAATTAGTTTAATTTAATTTAATTTTTAAAATTTTCATTTAACATTCATTGAGTGCAAAATTGTTATGATTTTAATTATACGACTTAATTTGCATATTTTATTGTTTATAAAAGAATCAAGAGAAGTTTAAAAAAAAAGAAAATCAAGAAAAAAGGTGAAATATCAAAAATGCTGTAATGCAGAATGACTGTAATTCATAAAACTGGATGTATTGATGAATAAAAGTGATGGTTGTTATACCAAAAAAGAGAAAAAAAAAATTATTAGTTAATAACTAACAGAGTATTTTGTGCTCCGTGAGTTTGACATTGTCTTATACTACTGTACTTTCGTATAATATAAAAACTCGGCAGGAAAGCAGGCTTACAGCGAGCGATTTGAACGATCTTGTCACGCTGGTGGCGGCATTTTATTGGATAATTCAATTTATCGTACCTTTTAAGCAAACAGAATTTAAAACATGGTACCGTATCTCTAACCATGGCGTTTTATAATATATAGCCTAGGCCTAGGCCGTTAATTTTGAGTGCTGAAAGTTGAATTCGCATTAACATGGTGTTTGCATTTCCTACAATCTACAGTATATGCATACTTATTATTATTATAATTTTTAGGATTAGGATATTCTTTTTCCGTTTAGTTGCTGCCTTCATTTTATTAAAGATTCTGCAACTGTCTGGTGGTGATTGGGCAGTGCACTGGGAGACAATCCCCTACTCTTTTCCGAATAGTGTACTGCGTTCTTTAACGTGCACATGGGCCATAATGCACACGGGACCAATGGCTTAAATGTCTCATCCAAAAGACGGTGCGCTATCGTAACTTGCATCTCAGCCCTGCAGCTGAAACACATGAAAAGCAGCGATGGGAATTGAACCGGGAACCTAGAGATCTCCACAGTTCAGCGCACACACAGTGGCTACCAACAGTTGCTCTTGAACAATTTTATTTATTAATCATGTTTTGATTAATCAAATTGACTGGAAACATACAAAACAAATGTTTCCATACATCGCGGCTGAACTTGAGCAGGTTTTTCTACTTTCAGGTTGCTAAAGGTGATATATTCAGTGAGAGTTTTTTGGCGGAACATTTTAATGGATGTGATGCTGTGCTTTCCTGCTTGGGAACAAAAGCTACTTTCATTAGCAAGATAACTTTCTACACAGACTCCATGAAAGTAATCATTTCTGCCATGAGAACAGCTGGAATTAAAAGGCTAGTGGCTATAACATCATGGTGTACAGGTTGTAAGTAGGCCTAGGGATAAATTTTATGACAAAAATAATTATTAAAACAATCTGATGATGAAAAATTATGATTTGGTTCAATGGTCAATATTATATTTGTGTCTGGTGTTGATAATACTTGTAAATTTGTATTTACTGTATACAGTAGAACCCCTCCTTTGGGACACCCTTATTCAAGGGACACCCCTATAAAGGGGACACTATCTTTTAACACCACAGCCAACCTCCATTAAGGGGACACCCCTATTTAAGGAGACAGGGACACTTTTTGAGTGTACAAAATGGTCAAATCAATTCAATTTCACCTATTAAGGGGACATCTTATTTTTTTTTTATTGTATCAAAGCAACATTGCACTTAAATAAAGAAACAATATTGGGAACCTACACAAAATTTGTAGTTTTAATTACCTGTCTGTTAATTTCATATCTTAAATGAATTGTTTGCGTTGCAAATTATTGTTATAAATTGTTTATAATTAAACTGTTACTTATAATAGGTCAATTAAAATAAAATTATAAAGAATCTCTGTCGTCATTATACGAAAATATGCCAAAAACCCCTATTAAGGGGACAATTTTACATTTTTGGTTAGTGCCCCCTGAATAGGGGTAGCACTATTCTGGGGGACACAACAATTAAGGGGATACTTTTTGGTCCCGAAGGTATTTCAATTGATGTATTCAGACACGCATTCATGAACCAAGCAAAAAAAAAAAAAAGGAGCCTACTTGTACTAGTAGGTGATAATCCCTTTCACAAACTAAATCTCAGTATGAGGCTTACGGAGTGAAGTTGTTTTGGTTGTGAAAAAAAATTCTGCATCAATGACAGGATTTGAACCGAGGCCCCTGGTAATTGGAAGACAAGCATCTTAACCACCAAGATATTCAACTCCACTACTAGAAAAAAATGTCAGATGTTGTGGTGACTATTAAAGCAATTAGTAAAGCTGCGCATAGTACACTATAGGAAAATTATTGTACAAAGGTTAGTTTTTTAAAATTTCCTGAGGGCCTGCCGAAGGAAATGTTTGAATGCATTAAATCTAATCTAAGTATAATAATTTTCCGCAAGTGTACAATGAATGCAGCTCACATTTAGCTGTGTGCGTATGCTGATATGCTTCTGCAGTAGACCTACACGCTAACCACACAGCTAGAAATTTCTTTAGTTTATTAGGATTAGTTAAAGAATTCTTTCATTTTTCATACTTCATATTTTTCATGCTTAATCGAGAGTATATAATATTACCCTGTGTGTAATGAAACAGGGTTTTAAATTATACAGTGTTAAAATGAATAAATAACACAATGAAGACAAAAGCATTTCTTATAAACGTTTTTTTACGAAGATAGGACCTATGATAGTCCTATTGAACTTCGGGAAAATGTGAAATAGGTAACATGGAAGCAGGCAAGGAAAGTGCCACGCCAATATTTTTTTCATAAGCGCCACTCTCGAATAAGCTCCGTTCTCGAATAAGCGCCGCACTGAAGCCGCCAAAGATTTTTTAAGCACCGCGGCCCTTATTTTAGCATTTACGGTAGGCAAATAACACCGGGAGTTGCAGTGATTACCTCAATCTTTGTTGATCCTTAGTGGCGATGCTGTAGTTTGATATTTTCTCCAGTATGTAACTTTATTTATCATAATATAATTCCATTATATTTTCATTTGCTTCCAGATAATCGCAATGATCCAGGACCAGCTATCATAGAATGGTTTCTGAAACCATTAATATTAAGGACTGTGCTAGCAAATATGGCGGAAATGGAGACATTCTTGGAAAGCGACTGCAATGATATTGATTACACGACTGTCAGACCACCCGGTTTAAAAACGGACCCACCGACTGGTTAGTACTTCTGATTATTATTATATAACACTTTATTAGATAACAGATTATTCCATCAGTACTACTGAAACAACTTACATCAACTATCTGCAAACTACGGCCCGTGGCTCAATTTTAGGCCGCAGAACATTTATGGAGGTCTGTGAAGTCGCCCAGGAGAAAAATAAATGTTTTTGTAAAACTGCTTCTCAGTTTATATAAAATTGTGTCACTAATTTAGAACAGATAATGGTGTCAAATTATTTTATATGATAACATGAAGGGAAATTTCATGATCAAATCTTTTTTGCCAAGTTTTTTTATTTTTGGCTGTTTGGTCCCAGGCGCATTACAATTCAATAATTGAGTTCCGATTTTTTACCACATAGTGTGTTTTTAAGTGTTCAGTGATTAGTTCAACATTCTTTTGCTCACTACAATAATTTAACACTGCACTTACTCAACTACAACAATATTTTTAATTTACAGAGAAACCCATTCAAGTAGAAGAGCGGCAATTTGTTGGAGGTGGATCCTCTATGATGAACCGCGGAGATGTAGCACGTTTCATGTTAGACATTGTTAACACCGAGAAGTGGTTTAAGAAATTTGTTGCTGTTGCAGCATAGGAAACATTTATTGACTCGTACAAAAAAAGAATTAGTTGATACCATTTAGTATAAAAAGTCCAAAAAGAAGGTATTTCTGTTGCCTAAAACCCAACAGACCCAAAAGTTTGTAAATCTAGGGTTGGTTATATTTTTTTTTTTGGCAATTTTTAACAAATTTTTAACCCCCAGTAGCCCAAAGTACTTGTTTGACATTTTAAAATGTCTGCTCTCCAAGCTATTTCGTCACCCCCATGAGTGGGGAATTGATTGGCACTGAACCCTAAGTTGGCTAATGGTCCAACCATTCTTGTTTAGGTTATTCTAAAGCAATCAAGTTAGCATTAATTATATTGGGTAAATAAATTCATCTTGTTTTCGATAGTTCAATAAATATTTTCTCTCAATCTTTTGCCACCATGCTGTAGACTGGGTTCCAGTCTCCAACTTTTGCCTTAATCAGTGAAAACTATTAAAAATAGATCGATTTTTGAACCATGGTTTCCATATTATTTATTTGCATTGTGTTCCATATTCAAAAACATATCAGTAGTCGGTAGTGGCGCTCTCCGAAATTATCTACATGAAAAGTCAATAAATTAGAGACTTGTGGCAAGTCTACACAGTACAAGTGATGGTATGCGGTTAGGAGGCGTGAATGGTTTGAATCAAATTAGTGGTGAATTACACGCATGTTGTGCATTGTGTATGAATGATTCAGTATTTATTGACCAGAGGAAAAAAGCGCCTTGTGTCTGTCTTTTGAAATTGCTATATATGTGAGATATACTGTCAATCATATTAAATTAATAAATTAGCAATTTGTGAAAGGAATACGTATATAGTGATATCGATAGTATTCAATTATATTAAAACATATCGTCGCTCACATCACGAACTAACACAATTAAATTCAATTGTGTTAGTTCGTGAAATCAAAAAAGCGCGTCAAAATACGCGCTGTTGTCGTTAAGGACTTTTTGTGTGGTAAAGAATACAAAATTGCTTGACAACCAATACGCGCTCGTTTTGACGCGCTACTTTGATTGTGTTAGTTCGTGATGTGAGCGACGATATAAATGTTGTGCTCTATACAGTTACCAAATAAGAATTGCATTGAATTAAATTTCTGTATTCAAATTTTGAAAAATAAAGATGTGTTTTTATATACTTATTCAAGTATGGATAAATATGTATTTATCCTTATTATACAGTTTACAATATTAAAACTTTATATTAACAATAGGCCTATGTAACAATATGTTTATATATTAGTAAACTTACATACATACTCAAATGTTAAATACAAAGGTTTCATACATTTGATCATGAACATGGGTGGTGCCAGTTGGGTTGGGGACAAAAAACAATCGTGGGGAAGAAACAAATTATATGTATTTTATAAATATGTATTTTTTTTTTATTAGTACACTCTAATATTGATTAAATAAGCATTTGAAACCCCTAAATTGTCACTTTCTGGGGGATTCACCCAAAGAATTACTTCAAAAAAGATTTTGAGAGAGACGCTAGACTGTTCTATTTAGAAAAAAGGGTAGACGTTTTTCATAAAATATCAATTGACAAGAAACTCCGTTATAGAAAAAAGGGAGATTTTTGTTCATAAAATATCAAATGATACGAATCCATTTTAGGTGTGTTAACAAATAATGAATGTTTTTTTTTTTAATATTTTTTTTATTCGAGTAATGGAAATAATATTTGACCGTTCCACCTCGTTGAATGAAAATATTCTTCCCATTGCGCTCATAAATATTCATTATTTGTATACTATATCACTATGAATATATGTAACATGTACGGTACGAAGTACTATGAAGGAAATGAACGTAAATATATTAATTACCATTATTATAATTTTACTTCATGTTAATTCAATTCAACATAGAACTAATATTCAAAATAGTGTAGTGCCTAAAAGTACATCAATATTGGCATCATACGTTTACCAGAAAAACAATTTATTATACAGTACACGACTATTTATAGTACTTCTAAACATGAAAGTGGAAATGGAATTAGGTTTTCATCGTAACGGATTTGTATACTATATCACTATGAATATATGTAACATGTACGGTACGAAGTACTATGAAGGAAATGAACGTAAATATATTAATCACCATTATAATAATTTTACTTCATGTTAATTCAATTCAACATAGAACTAATATTCAAAATAGTGTAGTACCTAAAAGTACATCAATATTGGCATCATACGTTTACCAGAAAAACAATTTATTATACAGTACACGACTATTTATAGTACTTCTAAACATGAAAGTGGAAATGGAATTAGGTTTTCATCGTAACGGACCATGTTAATCAACAAGCAACCAACAACAACAACAACAACAGGTAGCTGAAGCCTGAAAGTCAAAGAAATAACGTTTTGATTGCATTCACTATGTGTACCGGTAATGCATATATTCTGGACGGGCACGTTTATAAATTAGAATATATATTGTCTATCTATAACTAAACATTTAAGCTGAATGTCTGCATTGGAAAACAAGATACGGGAATATGTGAAATATTAACTTGGGAACGGGCAGCAACGGGCATATGGAAAGAGCGCCACGCCAATATATATATTTTTTATAAGCGCTACTCTTGAATAAGGGCCGCACTGAATCTTCCAAAAATGTTAAAAGCGCCGCGGCGCTTATTCGAGCATTTTGCGTTACAGCATATAATAGAATTCACAAGTTAGTATGTGACATAGGCCTAGGCATACAATAATGAAAGTCTCTCAGTTAAAATATCTAGGGCAGAAATTAAACAAAACCACTAGGGCGGAAATTAAACAAAACCATGTGTATTGCATACTGTAAGTTCCAGATCCGTAATAAGCTCCAGATCCGTAATCTCAACAACACTATTTTTATTGTATTTATAAATTCAGCTATTTTCAAGATTTTTTTTTTTTTTTTTTTTTTTGAACGCAAGTCAAGTATTACCAGAAAGTATTGATTGAAGTCAATAGACTCTTTGTTTACAAATCCACTTATTGGAACGTGAAGCACTTCACATGGTTACGTGCACACAGATAATTTGTGAAGCTTAACACCTTAGAGATACGTAGCATTAAACTGAAGAACAATAGTCACACAGGGGCGAATCTCACAGAGCAGGGAAAAACTACAGAAGAATTTGCGCGCAGTCGCAATGAAGGAAAAATATGATTTGCTCGTTCGAAGTCAAAATGAAACCGATACATGTTGAGTGTCATATGATTTAGTGAAGAAATTATACATCTTACGAAGTTTACAGTTAGGTTGGTCGTGAAGCTGGGTTTACAGGTAGGTGTTTCGTGAAAATTAAACAATAACAATAAAACGGCGATTTATGCTTTAGGCCCTATCGGTATATAGGTTTGCCGCGCACACCTGAGCACTAGGTAAGTCAACAGTATCATTACTCATTCTGTATATGTTTGTTTTGTAATTTACAATCGTTCATTCTGTATCACTCCTGACTTAACATAGGTTAAATTGTTGGTATTTAACACATGCCGTGAGGTGTGTTTTTATACTACACAGTTTGGAGTGAATTGACCTACTTCCATTTCATAGTACTCTGCATGGTGGTAATATACATTCTCGCCCGCTTGAAAGAGTAAGCAAACCTTCACTGAAATCAGCCTAAGCTTGCGAATCATGTGCTCCAATACTAAGTAATTATTTGTATATAATCAATCATATACTGTCAGTATTCTCTATATTCGAGCAGCATTAGTATTTGCTTAGCTGCCCGATAGAGGCACCGAGGAAAACGAAGTGTAGCCCTGTTCTCATTTTTTTCAATTCCCATGTGCCATTAAGGATTAAATCATTAACTTGTCTTCCTGCATGAAAGTATCGCTCATGGAAGCAGGGGTAGCACCAGGGCGGGGGGGGGGGGGGGGGTGCATTTTGCACATAAATTATGTTACCTTAAAATCGATATCAGGTATGAGCCTTTGAAACACCTGGTGTCATAGTTTCCGGGCAGTGGCGTATCCAAGGGGGGCCCCCCACAAAAAGCTTGCCTTCCCCCAGCCCCCCATTCGAAAACTTCGAAGCAAAAAAAAATTAGGATAGGCTTATGCTCAAGATAATGGGTTAATGCTTTCTCAACTTCCCTTTATTGACGTTCATTAAAACAAATACTGCGTTCAAGAGATATACTTTAACATATATCTGTCACGGTTAACGTGTACTCGGGAATCTAAGAAGCAATATTTTTCAGTGGGCGTGGCCACCGAAAATAAATTCCACGCCCCCTCATATTTGGTCTCGCCCCCCACCAGCAATTGTTTTGATAATTTAAAACAATTCGTTGTGTATTAAAATACTGTCAATTTAATTAAGATCCTTTGGAAACTGTTTGAAAACATTTGGAACGGGAGTGCAATTTCCAGGAATCTAGAGTTGCAACTTGCTCTACCATCCTTATTTTATCTCAGTCCTAAACTCAGTGCATGCTGTGGGTGTTGAGACTCCTGGTAGTTTCCCCCTACGATTTTTTTTAAAAATCGCAACAAATATTTGATTTACTTAAAATTTAACGGAGATAAAAATTCAAATCAAGACACATAAGAATATAAAATGTCTAACAGTGCAATATCAAGCCATTTAGAGTTGCCACTGCAAGCCTGAATATTTTCATCCCAACCCACCTTCAACTATGTAAGCCTGACAATATTATTTCTGGCATTTAAAGTTGCTCCGTCTTTAATTATGTTTGCCACAATTCGTCTGGTAGAAAAAAAAAATTATATGAATTTTCCACATATTAATAGACTCTAAAAACGAATAACTAAGAAATTGTCGTAATTTGTTGATAGATTCGCCCCCTGGACTACTTTGGAAAGATTTTGAGAGACGCCGACCACGCCCACTTGTCGGGAACCTCAGCCTCCCTCTGTTCGGAGACCTTAGACTCCCAACCC